TAATTAGAACATTCATTCCCAGAACAAAGCCTTCAAGGTAGGTAAATTGTACTTGACCAATTTGGGGTAAATTTTACCATGGAGAAAGAGAGAAAGATAATGATAAATTTCAGAGCCCAGAAGAGAGAATTATTTTGTCCTTTTCATTTTGACAACATGTAGCATCCCAAAAAATTTCCTAAGATTTTTCATAAGACTGAATTGGATCTACCACTCTCTCTGTGGATGTAGAGAAGGTGCTCTTCAGAAGCATGCATCTAATTAAAGTGTGAGGATTCTCGGGCCTCCTGAGGAGAGATGTCGCTTTTAAATAATTCCACGGTGTTCTGAATTGGCGTGGAGGATTGGACAAGGAAATAGGCAGCATCCTCGGAGTGCCAAGAGCTGGTTCATTCTTTTAAAAGGAGGTTTTCAGAGCAGATTTGTGTCTCAGTACTCAGCAGCAATTGCTGCACTCTTAGGAACGCTGAAGATGCCACCTTTTGTTATAAATTCCACCCCCGTTGGACGCAATTGTAACTTCGGCTGCTTGTTTGATCATTTGAGAAAGCAGCCCGCTTTCTCTTGCACTTCCTTGTCCCTCGTTCCTTGTCCTCCCAACAAGGGCAGGTTATTTCGCAGCCGGTGTATACAGAGCTCATCTTTCCTGCTGTCTGTGGGGCTCCCAGTGGCATCTCTTGTTTGCTGTGCTCTGAATCATATGAGGCTGTGGCCCAATGGCTGCTCAGTTTCAAAGCTGTGCCTGCCAGACAGGAAGACACCCAGGGCTTCCATCAGGACGTGGGGCAAGCTGGTTTAGAGGATGCTGCATAAGAAACTTTAGTTACTTTGCTCTTTCCTTTTGAGTCCCCCAAATAGCATATTTAAGATTGTTATTTATCAGACTGGAGCGATGGTCTAATGTTTAAGAGTGCTGACTGCCCTTCAGAGGATCCCAGTTCAGTTCTGAGAACCCATTTTAGACTGCCCACAGCCCTGTAACTCTGTCTCCATGAGATCCAATGTCCTCTCCTGGCCTATGTGGACATTTTCACATGTGGCATATGCACACACACATTTTTAAAAACAGAATAATTTACACATACAAATTATTCTACATCTTCTAATACTTAATGTTTTAAGTTTTCAAATATTTAGAACTCTTTAGTACTCTGTTCATATTAGAATAAAAAATGCCACCCCCAGAAGTATAAAACTTATCAAAGATAATTGACACATTTCCTACTGTTAATTTTCTTATAGTCAGTGCTCCTGCCAGCTTCATGCTTTTCAACTACTAAATTCTAACACATCATCTAGCCCATGACAGTTATTCAGTAAGTGTCGAACAAATAAAAGAAACAGGTTACAAACAGCGTACGACACACAGGTGTTTTCTTCTTGATCCTGGAAGTCAGTAAAGAGCCTGTGTGGTCCCCACTGAGTCTTTGGGTAAATCTCGATTGTCCCGTTTAAGCAGAGCCTTCTGCTATCAGCAGGGTCTCTACTCCAGGATCCAGTGGGAAGGGAAAGAGTCCTAGGAAAGAAGAGGGAATCACCAGTCCTTGATAGAGCTGTAAGAACGCACATGCTTGCCTCTGAACACAGTTCTCGTTCTGGAGTTACCCATATGAGAGGTTGGGGAGATGGCTCAGTCAGTAAAGTGCTTGTTAGTCCAGCACCGGGAGAGAGAAAGACAGACAGGATAACTGAGGCTTGCGGCTGACCAAACCAACCTAACAGGCAGACTCCAAGCCAATGAGAGACCTTGTCTCAAAGTACAAGATGGCTGGTGACTGAGAGATGGCAGTTGTCCTCTAGCCTCTGCTCTTATGTGCACATAAACACACACACATGCATGTACACACACCCACGCACACACAATATGTGAGTGCAGTCTCCACCCTCAGCCATGGACAGACACTTTTCTACTATTTTTTTCCCACGGAGCAGCTCAACCAGGCAGGGCTAGAGATGTGCTGCACACGATGAGGTAGCAGCAATGTCCTAAGACACCCTTCATCTTTCTCTGGTGATTGTCAGATAAGGACAATGATTGTGATCACAAGTACTAGCGTCCCAGCCTGTGTTCTGGAAAATAAAGCTAAAACCCTCATTCTTCTTTGTCTTCTCAGTGGAATGTTGCCAGCCAAGGAGCCTTCTCTGAAGGCTGTTGGGAGCCATAGCTGTATTTGCATGAGAAGGCGAGGAAGTTGGATTCGCTTTCTTCCTGCACCCCACAGTATAACACAGAATCCACACTGGGGTGATTGTATTTATTTATGTTCATTGTGAGTTAAGCATGCTTTGGCTAACCGAGGAAGGGGTAATACTGTTCGCAATCTTGCCGTGTTGTACTTAGGACACCTTTGAACTTGTCTAAAGGACCATGGCCAGAAAGAAAATCTGTTTGCTAAAACGTGGTTACCAATATCTACTTAGCTCAGAAACAGATTAATGACTGGCATCAGATGCTTGTGGGATTGATTAGTGATCTGTCCCATCTGGCCCTAGAGAGTATCTGGTGAGTGGAACCCCAAAATGAGCATGTCCAAGCCGTAAAATCAGTAACTCCAAATACACAGTGCTGACTGGAGACCCATCCCTCAGGGGACTTCATGGGGAGTTTGGCGGTTCCCCCTCAGCTGTTTCCAAGTGACCTAACTGCCCTGTAGACAACTGATCAAACACCCCGTGGGCCCATGGGAAAGGCATAGAGGAAGGCTCGCCCGTTAGTCTGACTGGAATTGGGTGGAAATGATCTTTTTCCTTTCCTCTAATTTGTTTGGAAAGTTCTCCAACACGATAGGTTTGATTTTGTGTGGTTTGTTTTGTTTCATTTGGCTTAGAAAAATGGGAGATGATCCTGCCTGTTTGGGTATGAAAGATCTCAAAGGAAAAACAAAGAATGGGCGGTTGCTGACCCTCTCTGCCTGGGTGGAGGACAAGCTTGAGAGCAGGATGAGTTGGGGAAAATGTGACTTGTTGATTATCAATATTGATATTAATATCGAGTCACATAAAAGAATAGGGAAAAAACTGTCTTGTTGCTGTTATCAACCCCAGGAGTAGCCATGGCTGCACTGAGCACCCCCATCTCAAAGTTCTTGGCACGGAGAATAAGAAGGGTGAGTGTTCCTCATGATGGTCTTGAATCTGATCCCCAAATTATGGGTAGAGTACATGTCTCCCCATGGGTGTTCAGATCACCACTTGGAGATCCAATATGCTCCAAACATCATCTTACCTTAATTTTGAAAGCAAAGAGTGTCTGCAGTATAATGGATTGATGGTCACATCTGGTCAAGGGTACATTTTCCAGCAAACTCTTGTGAATGAGAAGTTCACTGACACAAACACAGTGACAAATGTCTTCTCCAGCTTAAAAAAAAAAAAAAAAAAAACACGCCTGTGTCTGCTGGCAGCTCTGGGTGGTCACATTCCAGATCTTTTCAGGAAACTAAGAAGTTAGTTTCCCTTTAAGTTGATTGTGACATATAATGTGGGGGGGGGGTGGCTGAGAGACAGCGCAGCAGATCTAGGCACCTGCCTCCAACTCTGACAATCTGAGTTCAGGCCCTGGAACCTGCAGGGCAGAAGTAGACAACCAGTTCCTGCAGGTTGTCCCCTGACCTCCGCACATGTGCTGTGCCTCTTGAGTGTGCGTGCACACACACACACACACACACACACACACACATACACACACACACACACACACACACATGAATAAATAGATGGGAAGAACAATAATTTCTTTTTTAATTTATTATATCTGTACAAAGAAATGATCGGACCTCCCAAGTCACCCCAACTATATGAAGTTTAAGTTGAAACTTTACTATTATTATTTTTGAAGGCATAAAGCTTTAGCCTCCTATCCTTTTCTCTGATATTTGATTTATAGAAAAAAATTAAATCTTACCTCAGGGGTAAGACCAAAATATGAAAAGCTAACATTAATATTGTGAGATTGGAAATGAAAACGAGGCTGCTGCTTTTCAGTGCTAAAACCTGCGGTCGCCCCTCTTATGAGGTCTCCAGACAGGATTATGTTCTACACACACACACACACACACACACACACTCGAGCACACACTGTTGCTTGAGCCTACAGTGTGGTATTTTGATCAGAAACAACTGTGTACAAAGACAAGCCGCTAACAAGACACGACAAGTCCCAGTAACACCCACTGGTCACCCAAACAAAATTTCCTGTTCAATGAGAAAGTGTTTCCTTGAGGGTCTGGAGCCTGACGTGCCATCTGTACTTCCTGAATCTTCGCAATTGAACTGAGCTTACCAGGACTTCAGGTGGTGACCGACCGAGACCTCCCTTTAATCCAACAAGGGCACGCCAGGCCCTTGTGAGCAGCCGCAGACACCTCCCACCTGTGCACTCCCCCGCCCACTCTGCTATTATGAGAGAACTGGGAGTTCTCTCATATGAGTTAAGTGGTGTCCATAGAACATGAGACTAATTCAGAAACGGGGGGGGGGGCTCATCCCCCAGTTGTCGGGCCTGTATTTCTTCCTCCGTTCAAAGATCATGTCTTGAGTGCTCTACGATTAAAATTATCTTTAGAAATTGAGGGAATGCGTTAGTAAAGGAAAAATGTTCCACAGTTTCTAACAGTTATCATGTCCTAAATAGAAGCTCTTTGAGAAACCATTGTTAAAAGCACAGTAACTTGGGGAGTAGGTGGAGAAAAAAATGAAGGGTGTGGATTTCCTCGCCAATGGGTAAACGGTTCCTGCAAGTCTCAGTGTTTCTCATGCAACACGCTTTTCTATTAGAGAACTTAAAATGTTTGCCGGTGGTACTGGAGTGGTTGTCTGGTCTGGGTTCCCGACCCACGGAGAATTCCCAGTCTCAGACACACGGGTTTGCTAATACCTGTGGGTGGCTCCTGCCGGGCTGATGAATGTTTGTGTGACCGCCGGCTTAGGCAGGGTTTGGGAAGCTGGCACGGGCGGCCAGCAGATATCTGATCTCTGGTTTGCATTGATCTTACATTTAGACACAGATTCAGAAGAACAGACCCTCCCTTTTCCAGTGCCTTCGGAAAGATTGCCGCTCCGTAGAATGAGTCCCTTCTCCTCCACCCTTAATCTACAACCCAGCTTCCCCGGGAGATCCTACTTTGATTTCCGATCCTCACCCCACCAGCTGAGCTTGCACTCCTCTTTGCAGTCTCTCAATGCACCCGGTGAGCTGAGCTGTTGGATCTTTCCCTTCATCTCTGTGTCTTGGAGGCATCTCTGAAAAACGTGTCGTTCTTGCCATCTGTGTGCGTGGTGGTAGTGGTGGGGGGTGGGGTGGGGGATGGGGGTGGGACGGTGACTTGTGTCTGTGTCTGTGGCTTCCAGTGTGGCTGAGGGAGCTTTCTGGCATTCTTGTTTGTATGGTGGAACGACCCACCCCAGAGCTGTGGTCCGTGTGTGATGGCATCAGAACGGGATGCGCCAAGTTGTTCTTTTTGCATCAATGGGTACCACCATGGAAAACTTGCTCTTCATCACATGCAACGCCATAGCACGGCATAGGCACTGGCTGAGTAGAGGCCATGGCGGTAGTGTGGAGGTTTGCAGCCTTCTGGATCCAGGAAACCAGCTGTGTCTGGGAGACTGGATCAGTGCATCCAGCCTGGAGTGGTCTGATTAAACATAGACTCAAGAGATCTTTACTGACAAAAATAAAATGCAAAACAAAACAAAAACAAACAAACAAACAAACAAAAACCATGCCGATAGCAGAATACATCCTACAAAGCAGGGGAAGCAGAGATCAGGAAATTCAAGCATTTTCTCCAAAGGCCGCGGTGCACCTGGTAGGACTGTAGGCCACAGCAGGTCACTTTCCCTAGCAAAGGGCAGGAGCCACTGTTGGCTGAATTAGAAACCCTTCCTCGTGACGCCAAGGCCAGAGATCCTATAATCAAAATAAGTGGCCTCAGGAAGTTGCTCACTGCCAAAATGTAGCAGAGCTTACGGTTGGTTCCAGCAAAGCTAGATTCAGGTTATTTTGCAGTAAGCTCTGTCTAGCAAGCAGAATCAAATTCCTAAAAACGCAGACCTAGCTGATCTCTTCGGGGCTATATTGTAATCACGGATACATGATGCACATCTCACGTTCCCGAGGGTTTCTTTGGGGTTTTATTTTATCCCTTTGGCTCATCCCACATCCTGGAATGAAGAAGGCCACAGCATGTCGGTGCAAAAAGGATGCAGGGACTTGGAGCCCCCTTGAACAGTGACATTTTTCTTGTGTTTTTCTGTTTCATGTTTTTCTGTGCACTACTGGCTTTTCCACATGCTTTGTTATGGAGCCCTCTGCTTGTCTCTAATGTACCAAAACACTGTTACAGTCTTTGTAATGTACATTGTCTCAAGAATAAAATGAAATGAAATGTGGGGTCCGGGTACTTGGCAGGTGTATTTAATAGCCTTGTTCTGGTTGTATCATTGAACCGTAAATGGATGATGTTGTCTTTAAATTGGTAGCAAAAGAGTTCAGAATATTTGTTTTTTAAAAAAGACCCCACAAGGCACGATTCATTTAAAAATTTTGAAAGCCCTATTCAGAGTCCACAAATTTACTTCCAAACCTGGATATGAAATTTGGTTTTAAAATTCTTTATAGCCCATACTTACTGTGTTCCAATTCATGATGAGGAATTGAAAAGACAGCTGGCCAAAAGTTAAACATAAAAAGATCAACCGAGCTGGAAGATGAATGTATCCCAGAATAAAGTAAGCTAAGCAAGAGAAGGTTATAACATTTAAATTGCTAACCTGGAGCTCTTTTATAGGAAGTCACCTGACTAATTCTTGTCAAATTCTTTCAAGTCAGTACCTTATCTTCCAATTGTTTTAGAATTAGCTTAGTAGGACAATACTAAATTGCAAAAATTTGCATGATTCTTTCCACCAAAGATTCCCATTTCTTAGACCAGGGTTCAACATCACTGGAAACTGTAGGTCACACACCTACGGACACTTTCAGTCCAGGTCACTTTCCTCCTCCTCCATATGGTTTCTCAGAAGGAAAACAAACAAAAAAAATTAGAAAAAGAAGAAGGAGGAGGAGGAAAACTAGATGTTAGGGAAGGTGAGAGCAGAAGTCCCATGAGCGGTTCCTATACAACTCCAAGCCCACGTCCCACCCCACATGAGCCTTCCTCCCCTCCCTCAGGTGAGAAGAGCTGCTGTAGCAAAGCGAGCTAAGAAGGAAAGTAATCTTTGTTTTGACAGCAGTCGATTCGTGTCACTGTTGATTATGAGGCATTCATAGCAGACATGTAGATTCCACACTTCTTTACATGTGGAATGCTTGCCCTGGCATCACAGCAAACAAAGGCTTCCTGCCATAAACTAGTAGGAATCAGAAGATTATTGCCCCAGAGCAGAGTTACCACTACTGGGTGATTTTTTTTCTACTTCTTGGGCAACTTTTTCTCATCTTTAAGACAGTTGAGCTCCTCAGCTTGCAAACATTAGTGTGCAAAATTGAACCAGAAAGACAATGAACATTTAGACTGCATTTACAGTCAGCTGGACAAAGCTTTTGCCAAGATGTAAAAAGATGAACTTTTCATTTGGAGAGAGCATCAAAGCAATATATATCGAGCAAAGAAAAGGAACACAAAAAGGGCTTTGGTTTTTTTGTTTTCTGTCTTTTTTTCATGAATCAGGCCTCTGGGGACCATACTCATTTGTGCTTTCTAAGTGAATGCAAATGGCTTTTATGAACCTGGTTGTCCCTTCACAGCCTTGATGTGTAGTATCTTTTTATAGGATGCAATTTTGAGACACAGTCTGCATCTTACTCTCAATTAGGCAAGTATACCCACTGTAATTGTTACTTTCGCCTGTGTGACTGCTACGCTCAATTCCTTTGCAAAAGAAATGGTGGTGGCTTTGTCATGTCAATAAAATTTTCCAAATGTCATTCTAACTCCATTATAACAGTTTCTCAATTTCTTAGAAGAATGCCTGTCTTTTTTTTCCAACATTATACCTTACTCCGCCCCCCCCCCCAGCTTTCTTCTACATCAATTGCAAAACACTCTTTCTGAGCACTGAATGTCAGCCGGCTGTTGTATGTGTAATATTCTCAGTGGAGCCCTTGTTGGTATTAGTCTATCCAAAGAAATGTGTCTTCTAGTCAATGTCAATTTTGCTTCCTATTTCTCTCCCCCATGCCTTTCATTGGAATGACAACAGTTGACATTAAAAAGCTGCTGGCAGGTATGGACTAACATTATTCTCTTACACATAGTAGAGGCAAAGAGCATGCGAGGGGCTGCAGGCTCAGCACTTCAGCCTCTGACTTCTCGGGACCGCTCTTACAGGCAATATATAGAAACTGGGCACAGCTGCATATATAAACACTTGACCCTATCTGCACCTAACATCCAAACTGCTTCTGCAATGTCTATGCGATGCCAGTTTTAGGAGTAACACTTATTTATAACTTATCTATAAGTTATAAAGGAAGCAATCTCTTCTGCAACCAAGTCACGTGAAAATTGGTTCACGTTGCTATGCAGTTTCACGACTTGGGTGAGCAGGTATGAGAGCTGCGGGAGCTTTCCCGCACTTCTGCCCAAGCGCATTTCCTGATTTCACTCAGTGTGTTCTATCCCTCCTCCATCCAGGGTTATAGATCTAGCCTCCCCTGCCTCAGCGCTGCACAGACACCTTAGCATACCCCCATATGTCTCTATGTCTCTGGTGCACTGGCCCGCCAGTCACCAGGTGAAGGGGCTCGATGCTACTTCACTCCCGGATCAACTGGCCGGGAGTGCAGTCTAAGCCAGGTAACCCCGTCTGCTCCCGTGGTGCAGAGTATCAACCCCTAGGATGTGCCCCTCACTTATGGTGACTCAGGCCCCAGAAACCTCCCTCCTGCATGGCAGTATGAAAATGTGACACTATGTGTCTCGCTGCCCGGACGTGAGCTACGATACGCGAAGCCATCCCAGTAACTCACCTCCCTTCTGTCCTCAGTGGCTTGGTTTGCTTTTGACCCGGGCTCGGCACACTCGGACATCATCTTCTCCAATGACAACCTGACGGTGACGTGCAGTAGCTACGACGACCGGGTGGTGTTGGGGAAAACGGGCTTCTCCAAGGGCGTCCACTACTGGGAGCTAACCATAGATCGCTATGACAACCACCCCGACCCAGCGTTCGGCGTGGCTCGCATCGACGTCATGAAGGATGTGATGTTGGGGAAGGACGACAAAGCGTGGGCAATGTATGTGGACAATAACCGGAGCTGGTTCATGCACAACAACTCGCACACCAACAGGTACCCTGCAGCCCCACGCCAAGCCTTCTTCATGGTGGCTTGGGGTCAGGAGGGAGAACCCTAGTTCAGCAGCCTATCAACACGGACAGCACTAGGAGGCAGGGCAGATGGTCTTCATCGACAGCACAGGGGCTCCCGTGCTAGGAAATCTCTAGGTTGGCCCACTCAACTGGCTTCCACATCACAGAGAGGTAGAGTTGTGTGCCTTCTCCTTGGCCCCCTCGTTGTCAAATTCCACCCAGGGCTACAAAAGAAAACCCAGACTTAGAATTTATCAGAAAAGTGTTTTAAAGGGCCAAGGTACTTAATTCTTTCTGAATCCCAGTTTGTCAATACTCTAAATTTGTATAATAATATGTTTCCACGCAGCCACGCAGGAGTGGTCTGAAGACCACGTGAGATGAGATATGCAATAATGCCCCACATTGGAAGTACCTGGAAATGGGAGTCTTTGTTCTTATTGTCATTATCATGCCTACTGCTTCTCAGAATAGAAGCCATTAACTAAGCTTGGCGTTAGGGATACCCGCGTGGATAGCTTTAAACTTGAACAACTTTCTTGTTACTGTGTGTATTACAGCATCTGGATTGCTGAAGAAAGAGGATATAGTACCTCCTGAAGAAATGTCCTCTATCACCAAAATATAGACAGTTCCAACTGTCTATGTTTAATAATTTCCTTTTCCATTTATTTCTGTTTTCTTATATTTTTCTCCTGTCATCTGGGCCAAAGGTGTCTTTTAATGGACACTGGTCTGTCTTATTCTCAAACATTCCCCCAGGATACATTCTCTTTGGCATCTCTGAAAAAGCTATCCCCTGTGTTCAGCGAGATCAAAGGAAGAAAGGGCCCAGCAGGGGCAGAATAATGACTTCGCTATTTCAGTTCCTCCTGTAGCTCGCCACTGACCCTTCAATAGCCAGTGAGCTCCCAGAGCCTCCTGGCCCCTGGACACACTCTGTCCAGCTCTATTCATGTATGTCTTACTGGTTATCCCTTGAAGTGAGCACACAAAGCATGTCTATCTTGCTATCAAATCCAACAGAATATAGACAGCAGCTACCTTCAGTGATTGACATTTGGGAGGGGCTCTGTCACTAGATTCCTGACACCATCACCCAAGCACTTGGGTGTAGCCTCTTGATTTTGGAGGGAACATAAGAACACAAGAACAGCGCCATGACACAATGCAGAAAAGCACATTCCAGAAGCCGAACACCTCTGCTTGCATGCAAGCTGCATGTCCCTTGTGCTGTCGCTGGCAAATTTGTCACTGGCAGCGATGTAGTTTGTAAGCCTGTCTGTGAGTGATGGTGTCCAGTCTGTCTTCTGCATGCCGGAGAAAAGTGATGCTGATCCATTCCTGTGCTCTGCTGAGATGAAGTTCAGTGCTGTGAGGTCTTAAACTCAGGAGGGAAGAGAGGCGTGGCCATCTCTATCTAAATGTCCTGGGAAATCATCAGTGGCAGCAGAAGACACAGACCTTTGTACAAAGACCGTTGTACTTGGGTTTCTGGAAATCACTGAATTCCCTGTAGTATAACTGTGTCTCGGGGAAGCATCTCCTTCAATGCTGTCATGTTTACAGAGACCGCTAATGCCTTCTTTCTGATTCCACATGCCGAAAGATTAGCATCTTTCCAGAGCGTGTCTCACTACCTAACGGAAAATGGAAGGCTCTGAGTCCAGTAACTCACGCACATCTTCCGGGCTCCACCTAAATAAGCGCTCCTTTGTTTTGGCCTTCGGATTATGTCATTCTGTATTAAATGCTGCTAAATTCGCACCATTTATACAAAGTGTGCCATGCAGCTGATGTGCTGGAGCAGCTAAAAGGCTCCTTTGGCCCGGGCTTCTGTATTCAGTTTTCTTCTGCTATAGCTCAGTGGTCGAGATTCCATGTGTACCAGTTCACTCTCAGCAAAGCACAGTAAACAAGGAACTGTCTTGAGGGGTGGCTGTCTCCACAGGGAAGTGGGAATTTGGGGGAACAAAAAAATCTAAATCATATTTTCATATGTAAAGCATGAATACACCAAATATAAATAGTATACAGCGTATCTGAGGCTTTAAAGTTTTATGAGTGAGGGTTTTCTTTTAGCAAAAATCTGTGCAAAAAAAAAGCTGAGCTGGGGGAAAAACTTAAGCAGGTTTCAAAATTCTGCTTTGGCTAGGCTTGATGGGACGGGTCTATAGTTCCTTCTACTTGGAAAGTTGTGGCAGGACGATTCCAAGTTTAAGGCTTGCCTGGGCTGTGATGGAAGTTCAAGGCCAGCCTGGAGAATTTGGTAAGACCCTGTCTCACTTAAAAATTAATTAAAAAATTAAAAGGAGAGCTGGGGATAAAACCAGATGCAGAGCGCTTGCCTACCGTACATGAGGCCCTAGGGTTAATCCCCGGTATCCGATATCAAAAACAAAACTAAAGAGGGGTTCCACAAACCGAAACGGGGAGATTTAAAAACGGCAACAAACTGACGAGACTCCATTTCCCCCCTTTTCCCACAGAACCGAAGGGGGGATCACAAAAGGGGCCACTATCGGGGTCCTCCTCGACTTAAACAGAAAGACGTTAACATTTTTCATCAACAATGAGCAGCAAGGTCCCATCGCCTTTGAGAACGTGGAGGGCCTCTTCTTTCCTGCTGTCAGCCTGAACAGGAATGTGCAGGTGAGCACCAGGGCCCCGGGGCTAAGGGCAGCTTGCTCAGGTGCCGCTTCAAAGTCTGCCAGGGCAGTAAAGTCCCCACAGCCCCAAGAGGGAAGCTGGTACAAGGTGCAGATTCCGCACCAGCAGCCCCTCCCTGTGTCCTTGCCATGGTCTGACTAACCACCCATAGGAAACACAAGCTGACTCTACCCTGTCTATCCATGCTTGCTCTGGTTTCATCTCTAAATAGAATTGAGTGACTTGGACAGGCTGGCAGGGAAGCCATTGAGATGGCTCCTAGGGAGCACCAGGGATGCCCAAGAAAAGCAGTAGTGGAGGGGGCTTCAGAGCTTGCAAGGGGTGCCCCATCACTGCTAGAATCCAGGACTTCACAGCCCCCCGCCCCTGAGTTGGGAGTCGGTCCTCTCATTACCCGACATAAACCTCAGTAGCCTTAAACTAGGACTTGAAAATCACGTCAAAACCCTGTAGAGGATTTTGCCCCACCTACAGCCGCAGCCTTGAGGCTCTTTTGAATGAATTCCTGTCTATGAGCACAGGCAGTAAAACCACTTACAACCCAGCAACACCTGCCTTCGGCTTCCTGCCAGGAGGTGGGACTGTCTGGGAGGCTGGAGTTAAACTCTTCAGAGGCCAGCCTGCACATCAGAAGACAGAAAGCTTAAACTGCCCTAGAAGTGAATCTAAGGAAAACCTCACTCAAAGTTTTCTACCTTTTTGGCCATGATCATACTAGCCATGCTTCGGGCCTTCAAGGATGTTCTCATGTCTTTAGACAGACTCTTGGCAGGGAGGGGATGGGCAAGAAGAGGAAAGTGGCCATGTGTATGCAATGCTTCCAGTCTTTCCCCATAGCTATTCACTATAGTTTGAGGTTGACTAGAAGCTGGTGCAGCAACGTAAGTGCCCGTGTTTCTTCCTACTAAAGTCCTTCGTTCAATCCCAGAAAGAAAGGCTTGTCCACACCTGGAACTAACCTACAAGCTAATGCGTTCTTTGTCCATAGACTTGGGCAGTAGTCACTGTGTGTAGAAGGCTTCACTGCCTGCAGATGAGTGCCTTAACTTCAGTCAAAAGAAAATGCAGCCCCCCAGAATACTTTAAAAGAAGTAGGGATTGTGTCTCCTGGGCTTGGAAACCCACCATGATGGTCAGGCTCTTACTGCAGCTAGAAGTCCCTATAGTATCTTCTAGGATATATATATATATATATATGTTCAAGAGACATGAATGGACCCTTACCGAACTGAGGGCACACCAACTGCGCTGTAACTGGATGAATGTAAGCACACATCCCGCATAGCTTACAGTCTCATTCCCCAGGTCACGCTCCACACTGGGCTTCCGGTCCCCGACTTCTACTCCAGCAGAGCTTCCATAGCCTAAGAGTGTGCTATGGAGGCACTAGCTGTCCCTGAGAGGGGCAGCATGGAGCCACCGGCCTCGGCAGATGCAGAGCTGGTAGAAGAGACGGAGGAGAACAGTCGGTCCTCTACCATCTTCGCCCCTTCAGCTCCACCCTTTCCCATGAGCCTCTCTGCCTCACTCACCTGAGCACCTTCCCTCCTCCAGACGTTCTAACCCACAGAGGACCTCAGCAGCCTACCTTTCCCTTCGTGTCCACTTTCACTTGTTGCTTTCCTTTCATTTGGGGTTTGTTTTTGTTGGTTTGTTTTTAAATGCAGACCAAGTTTGTTTTGTTTCTTTTCTGATCATGTTTTGCTGACCTGCCTACCTAACTGGCACCGCCAAGAGAAAATTCTCCTAGAAACTTTTCCCTTAAGCTTTTGCTCACACAAAGATGTTGCAGGAGAGCAGGTAGGGAAGAAGTCAAATTCAGAGTTTGCCATTTGACTCCTAGAATGTTCTCACCCTATTTCTTGTCAAGCAACGTCAGCTCTTCAAGGCTATTGCTCGGGAGGTGGGCAGAGTGCACCTGGCACCCACAAGTCGGAACCACACCCTGAAGCACAGATGTTTCAGTGACTCAGCAGGGTGAGGACTGTTCAGATGTGCTCTAGACACGGGGCAGGCCAGGGGACTCGATTTGATTCGCTTAGTTAATACAAGTTTTTAATTAAGAATACCATGGACCAGGCACTGTTCCAGACTCTAGAATTCTGTATTCTAGACACTGGGGAGGGACCAGGGAAAAGGTGATCAGTCTATCTTCCTGGAATGTATATTCTGGAAGGAGAACAAAGCAAATAACTTCAAGTTGTTCTAAGTACCAAAGGAAAGAGTCAAGAATCAAAGAAAGTGTCATGGACAAATCCTTAGATTGATGCTGACCCCACGCACTCCGGCCATCACACCAGACATGTACCAACCCAGTGCTTTTCCCACCGCACTATCTGAATTACAGCCCTTGCTGCCACTCATCACAGAGCCCTTCTTTGGTGGAAATGACGTCAGCATTGTTACTCATTAATGCTGCGATCATAATAAGCCTTAAAAAAAAAAAAAAAAGAATGCTAAAAACAAAATGACCAGAGGGCACAGGACCCAGTCACAGTACTGGGGCTCCTACGTTGCAGGCCACAACATTTACATTCTCAGGACAAACACGCTCCATGTCTACTCTCTGTGCCTGTTACAAACGAGAATCCATCCACCCACTGCTGTCACAGCCTGACTTTCCACGGAAGCTCGAAGTGGGTTTGGGAACGCATGAGCGTGGATGTCATTCCTGGGAGTGACCGCAGAATATCCATGCTGCCTGCTCCTAACACGTACCCTTCAGAAGCTTTCATTTGGCGTGACGTTTTAGAGAGCGTAGGACCTGGAAAACAAACTTCCGATGAGTTGCCTAAATACTTTCCACTGAGCCACAAAACCGACTTGATCAAGGGTCAGACGACGGAGGTGGGATGGGAGAGCTGGCGTTGCTTCGGCAAAAAGCAATCTGTGTAAATAGCTCATCCTCTATTCCTGTGCTTCTCCCAATTCATCTGTCGTTACGGTGTTCTTCTAGTTAGAACCTAATTTATTGAATGGGTGCTATCCTGTCTGTGTCTGTCTCGGGTTCTCGTGGCTCCAGAACACTGTTGCAGGACAACACTAGCTTGGTCTTTGATTGATGCTCCCGTGAGACTCGATGGCTGGGCCGCTAGTTACTCTCTTTATTAAATCTACCCCGCTGGTTAGAGTTCTAGTGACTTGTAACAAATAGTTTACACTAACTACAACTATAGATGCACACAGCTACTGTGCTAGAAAAAGAAAAAAAAAACTGTTATTCCCGGTATGCCAATAAAGGGTTTTTATGAGAGAAAAATGTCTCCGGAGAAGTTCTTTCTAAGTGTGTACATATTTGGGGGCACAGTTCACCTTTATCCGGGTAGTATTCCTCTAGCAAAGTGTGACCAGAAAGTAGATATCTTGAAAAAGAATGGTTTCCCCTATATTTCCATGAGAGCATGGCTGTGCCTCTGGATTTTACACGTCCCCTAGGCTTATCTTGATATGAAGTGTGCACATTTGGAACACTGTAGCGTGTGCCTCCACACATTGAGATTTTACTCTAATAAGGTGCTTCTCAAATGGCCACAAACGGTGCTGCAGAATATTAGCGAGCATTCCTGGCTCCTGTACCTTTACAATAGCTAAAGAACACAATTGTTTTCATGCAATCGCAACACTACCAATCACCTTTTATTTTTATTAGTGTTTTTCAGTGAATCAACTTTGTTTCTCATTAAAAGGAAAGTAGGTTTGAAGTGATTTCTCAGTCAGTAAAGCACTTGCTGGACCTGAGTTTCCAGAAACCAAGTGAAACAACCAGGCATAGTTGCTCTTCTGTAATCCCTGCACGGGGTCAGGGAGAGGGAGGTGGTGGAGACAGGAGGTGCCCTGGGACTTGCTGGCCATCCAGTTTAGCATGCTTTGCAAATTCTAAGACAATAAAAAACTCAAATACACACACACACACACACACACACACACACACACACACACACACATAGATACATACATAAAATATACGGTAGATAGTAGCTGAGAAATGATTCTTGAAGGTGTTCTCTGGTCTCCACAGGCGTGTACACATGAGCGCGCACACACACAGGTTCTATAAAAGTCAGTTTCACAGAGTAGCAAGAGGCACACTGCCAGCAGCTGCTACCCTCTGTCTGGCTGGTTTCTGTCTGTTTTTTTCCTTTCCCCCTTAGTGGGGCACGTTTTTCTGCCACTTTTATTTGTCCCCCTCCTTTCCTGCCAAGTTTTCCTCTCCTTGCTGCTTAATGAAACCGTTAGCTACTCTTTATTCTTCCCCAGTGCTAAGGTTAATGGACTTTCTCTTCCCGATGCTTTCTCACAGGAATGATAATGACTTGCCAGCAATCACCCTATTTTCTGGAAATGGTGTCCTTTCTTCCACCTCTACTATATGCATTTATCTTTCACCCACATACTCTACTCACACATCTAGACAGGGGTTGCTATTGAATCCAGATTTCTGATTAGGATAGAGGATTTCTTGAGTACCCTCTACTCTCTGCACCCTCAGACAACTCAAGAGCAGGAAAGTCCACTGGCAGAAGGAAGTAGCTGGAGGTGAATGCCTGGGTTCTGGTTCATGCCATGTGGGCTGTGTGTGCCCAGACAAGTGAAGGCACTCACCCGGATGAGTGTGATGTGTCCACATGCCTAAAGTGGAGGTGATCACACAGTCGTTCTGAGGGTTCAGACAAACGATGTTATCCACAACACTTACAAGAGTACCAGGCTATTTTGTAGCGAACTGAAACATACTCCCAGAGGAGGAGGGAGTTCATGAGACTCAAGTAAGCAAAACTTGCAAGTCCAAGAAGAGCTAAACCAAGATTCGCGAAGCCGGTCTGAGACTGTACATGACAGTACAGGCAGTCAGCAGTTGCTGGGGAGTCAAGACTCTCTCACTTCTCGCAACTCTGAAGTCTGCCTGGGGCTCCTGGGATGCAGTTTTCCTGAGTCAGGACTTGTTCCTGGCTTTTCGGTGATGTGGCTGCCTTTGAATCATCCATGATCCTGTAAACAACCCCAACGAACTCCCTGCATCACTAGGCTGGACTCGGTTGGAACTGTTTCTCTCATGAATAGATGTTCGCTGACATCTTGTAAGAAATGCTTCAAAACTCCTAACGATTAGCAAGACCTCAACTAAGTGTGTCTGTAATGACTTTTACCACCGTGTTCTGACAAAATATGTATCCGGTGGGGTTTTTACAACAGTGATCAGAAGAGTATAATAATTCCCAAAACAGCTACAGCATAACTTAAAAAATTAATTGAAATTTTCATATATATTGAACAGGGAACTACAAGGGAGATTACAAAGATCATTTGAAAATGGTGAAAATTATTATTCAGAAATTGGTCAACTAGGAGGTGGGAGATGACTCAGCAGGTAAGGGTCTTGCCACCAAGTCTGATGTCCTGAATTCGCTCCCTAGGACCCACACAGTGGAGGGAGAGAGCCACCTCCCACAAACTCTTCTCTGACATCAATACTGGCGCCACGGTGTGCCCACTCATTTGTGCGTACTCGCTAAAAAATCAAACAAATAATTTTTAAAATTTTCGAGCTTGGTTAATTAGAAAGCAAAACCATAGCTTGCAGTGGTGGTGCACATCTTTAATCCCAGCACTCGGGAGGCAGAGGCAGGCAGATCTCTGAGTTTGAGGCCAGCCTGGTCTACAAGAGCTAGTTCCAGAACAGGCTCCAAAACTACACAGAGAAACCCTGTCGCAAGAAACCAAACAAAAACAAAGAGAGCGAAACCATATTCTCCACCATAGGACATTCAAAATATTAAGGTGTCAGATACAAAACATTGAAAACTTTAGCCAGTCAGTGGTGGCGGTGCATACATACCTTTAGTCACAGCACTTGGGAGGCAGAGGCAGGTGGATCTCTATGAGTTCAAGGCCAGCCTGGTCTACAGAGCGAGTTCCAGGACAGGCAGGACAACATAGAAAGACCCTGTCTCAAAAAAATAAAAAGAAAAAAGAAAAATAAAGAAAAGCAAAAGAAAAAAGGAAGGAAGAAAAGAAAATTGTAACAAAGATGAAGCAAACCTAAATATCTACATGATCCTTCTCAAGGAAGCTTAAACTTCTGTCAAACATTTCATTCAGTAGAAGTCTTGATTTTCTAAAAGTTCTCTCCAGTTTTTCTCTGATTTACATGTTAAGCCTTCTTTTGATATTCTTGCTCATAAATCATAGTCTTTTGTCTTCTTTAATTCTTTAATTAACCACAGATTCACTGACTTCACTGTTTTGTTATGCCAGTATTAACAGACTGGATGCGGGATGCGGTGTTCTCTATGAGGTGCCGTGCATTCTCTTTATAGACTGCGCTCTGAACTGAGTAGCTAATGAGTTTGCAACCAGTGGCTCGGCAGCAGCCAAGAAGGACTCGTCCCCACTGTGGTGCAGGGCTCTCAGCACATTGTCCTAGCTGTCCTAGATGGTACTCACTGTGATGTGGCTTCCCACGGGCTCTCAGCACATTGTCCTCGATGTCTCTGAGCAGCATAGCTGTTGGTGTGAAGGAAGACTCCAGCTTCTGGGTTAAGGAGGAGGAGCTTCCGGCACATGAGCCTCTGAGGGACACATTCAGACCACACCCAGATTATAACACCAAACTGTGTTTTCCCACACAAAAGATTTAAAAAATAAAAGAAAGAAATTTCATTAAAATAAATCATATCTAGCTACTACAGTCCCAAAAGAAATAAATGCATGTGTGCAATAAAACCATGCACCTACACACTTCTGGCCACGTTGCTGACAACGCACTGTGGATGTAACTTGTCTCAGTTTCTTTCTGCTGATAAATGGCAATTTAAAGGGCAAGGGTTTGTTTTCGCTCTCAGCCCCAGGTTACAGTCCACGGTAGGGAAATCACAGTCGTAGGAGCTTGTGATAAATGCTCACATGACATCCACAGTCAAGAGAAGAAAGCAATGAGTTAATGTTATCAGATGTGGGGGTCACAACCTGTGCCACAACTCACATCTGGCCACTGGTCCTCAAAAAGCCAATTAAAGGAGCCTAATAAAAAGTGGAAAGCCGAATAGAGGAGATTCATCCAACACGACCACACTGGGAAGAGGAGCAAAGAGATCCACTGAACCCCTCAAGTCCAGTGTCGGGGTCTGGAAAAGAGACCAAAGTGTAAGTAGAGAGCCAAGGATATGCTCATCCAAGCAGTCCCAGTCAAAGTGTGAGCCCACTCACCACTGACCCATCACTGGGTGCCCGTCTCAGGTCACGGGACAAGGTGTGAAACCGTGTTTTGGGAAACAAGCTCCTCATCTGGCTGGTGCCTTTTCCTTCTCCCAGCATGAGATTCCTGGAGGAAATTCCCATTTCTTTGGGCGGCAGGGGTTGGGGGTGGGATCTCTTATTGAGAAACCGTGTCCCTCTAGAACAACTTCATTTCGGCCAGGCCGATTACTTTAGTGCCTGCTAATGCTCAGCCATCCCTCTCCATTATATCCAGCCCGGGTCCCCTGCTAGGGAAAGGTCCTGCCCGCAGCAAAGATGGGTCTTCCTCCAACAGTTAACTTGGTCAAGACAATCTCTTACAGACATTTTCAGAGGCTAACCTTAATCTAGACCAGTGGTTCTCCACCTTCTTAATGTTCCTCATGATGCGGTGATCCCCAACCATAAAATTCTCATCTCACGGCTCCTTCATCACTGTAATTTCGCTGCTGTTCGGAATTGTAATGTAAACATCTGATATGCAGGGTATCTGATATGTGACCCCAAGGGAATTGTAACCTACAGGTTGAGAACCACTGCCCTAGACAACCTCTCACAGGTGTGCCTAGAAGCCTGCCTTTTTGGCATCAAGCCGACGATTAAAACTCACTAACTAACCATTAACTAGTTAACGATGGCTTTAACTAACCATCACACAACTCAGACGTCTAACAATAGTGTGGTGGTTTGAATAAAAATGGCCCCCACAGGCTCATAGGGAGTGGCACTATTCGGAGGCGTGGCCTTGTTGTTGGAGGAAGTGTGTCACTAGTGGGTGGGCTCTGAGGTCTCAGAAGCTCAAGCTGGGCCCAGTGGCTCACAGTTCAATTCCTGCTGCCTGCAGATCCAGATGTAGAACTCTCAGCTCCTCCTCCAGCCCCATGTCTGCCTGCATGCTGCCATGCTTCCCACCATGACAATAATGGCCTAAAAACTTCTGGACTGTAAGCCACCCCCAGTCAAATGTTTTCCTTTATAAAAATTGCCATGGCCGCGGTGTCTCTTCACAGCAATAGAAACCCTCACTGAGACAAAGAGTAACACGGTACCACATTTACGTACTGGAAAACTACACGATAAAATGAAAGCATTTCAATTTGACAGGAGAACACATAATACTGAATAAATTAAGTCAGATGAACAGAGACATGCTATGGGATTCCATTTATACAAAAATAAAAAGACATAAAAAAATCATTTATGCTTGGCTTGGTGGCTTGCGCCTGCAATCGTGATGCTCAGAGGCAGAAGCAGTATGATTGCCAGGAGTTGGAGGCCAGCCTGGAGTAGAAGACCCTGTTTCTTAAAAAAATCATTTGCTGCACTGGAGAGCCTTTGTCTATGAAAGAGACCGTGTGACCAGAAGGGGATAATTGGGAATTAGCGGGTTATTCACCTATAAATACTCTGAAACAAACTTAAGATTTCGCATCTGTCTGAGAGGTGCTTTGCTGATACGAATTACCTCCCAAAAGAGAATTTTCAAACTATAATACATCAAGGGAAATATCACTTATTTCAGTCCATCTATTAAACGAAACACCAAAAACTGCAGTGTCAACATATGTGATATTTAACACATGTGGTACATTATTATTACATACTAAGTCTCTATGAGTGTAAAGCTGAAGACACCCCATTCAATCCAGCACAAATGTTACCAATTCTTGCTCCTAGTTCTGACAAACTTCCCAGCTTGGCGGAATATCCTGCATTTCCAGGAGTCTCCAGAAGGTGTCCCCATAAGCTCCCATTCTGCTGCGACGCCCAGACCCTGGCACCCAGTATGCGGGGACTCTTCCCTAAGCTGTGCGGAAGGTGGTGTAAGAGGCCGACTCGACTGTTCCCGCGACAGAAGGTAAAACAACGTTCATGGGATCCGAGTATTTGTTATAAAACCCCGTAGGAAAGGTCTCTCAGTGTTTGCTGACTTCCAGTCACAGCTCTAAGACATACTGGCTTCTTGGCAGTGGAGCCAGGGAACAGAATCAAGACACTGTAAAATCAGAATTAGGGGTCCCCTGACAACTAAAACTTCTTCCCGCGCAGGCTAATCATTAGACTCCTGCCCTCGGGGTGAGTTCTCAGGATTCCACTCCCCTGTTCACACTGACGTCACTCTAACCCGTCTGGCCAGTTAGTTCCCAGATACGTCCTACAGGCTAGACACCTGTGCTAGAAGCTAGCAGAAACCCCCTTTGCTCCATTAAGCTAATCCTGTCAGCCAAAATGGATGACTGGGAGGTCCAAGACAGCAACCACGAGCAATTCCTAAATCAAACACACCAAAACTGGATTCCGATTTTTATTTATTTATTTATTTAACTTGCCTCCAGTGCTCTGAATTAGAATAAATTGTTTTCTTGGATTTCTATCTAAGATTTTGAAAGAGAGAAACTATCTACTTTATGCTCTGGATAGAGTGATAAAAATAATACAAGTTTATTTTTCATTTTCTGGCTATGGGTCATTTTCTCTGGGTCTTTTGGGGCGTGAATATCCAGAACAAAGAAAGCAAGCTGTGATTAAAATTACAGCCACATCCTGCTGAAGCCCAGTGTGCTATATGGTGTGTTCAAAGGACAAAGCCCTCCACCTGCTGGTCCCAGGCTACCTCTGCAACTCTCTCTCTCTCACACACACCCAAAAAGGTTGGGTAACCATTTATTTCTTGAAATACCTAACACACTATCTGGTGAAAATTCAGAACTGAGGGCAGCTGCTCAATTTTTTTTTTCTTAAGCTGGAAATGCACCGTGATTAGTTACTGAGCATCATTCAAGAAGGAGGAAATGAAAGACAAGTTATCATTTCCCTTCTAAGCAGATCCAAGATACTCTTTCCTTCCTGGGACCAGACTTCAGGGCTGGGCTACTCACCGTTTTCCTCTGTTCGTTTGCTTGTTTTCATCAGCATTTTCTGGTGGCCTAGCTTCTATTTGGGAATGTGGAGCTTCAAATAGTTTTAAATCTCCTTATAGAGATCTGGACTTGACCTTTCTGGTTGCTTAGCAGTGAGCACAGAACCTCACAGACAGTGAATGCTTGCTCATTCGATGATTGCTTTGTCGATATGACGGATACTTTCAGATCTTCTTTCATCCGGGATCAGAGATGGCCTCAGGGGAGTCCTATCCAGACCAGACTGTAAAGTGACCATGGTCTTCATTAGTATATGCGTTACAGTGAAGTATAAGAAAGATCTGGAAGTACCAAAACTATAATCCACCTAAGATAAGACAAGGCACAGAAGACCTGGGTTTGTACAGGGGACAAGCCTTCAGATTCTTAGCCTTGATCCTTAAAAATATTGAGAGGAAGCTATTTCCTGTCCGGATTTTTTTTTTGGTAGCTTTTAAGCTAAGAAAGACTACCGTTCCTTAGCTAAGCATTTTACTGTTAAGGCTTTAAAGATAAGCAAATCAGAGGGATTGAAATATTTTGGCATTTATGAATCCGAAGTTTTTAAGTCTTTAGACTTGCTCTCTCCATGGAGCAAGTTCCTGCACATGGAACTTGTGCCTCTTGTTTTAGTTGCTGTTGTTTTATTTGTTCCCTTGGGTGCTGGGGGAGATCAGCAGGGCTTGCACACACCAGGCACATGCTCTGCCACTGAGCTACGTCTCCAGCCCCAGGAGTCTCCTGTGCTCAAATCAATCGAGAGCAAAGATCCAGTTCAGATGTGGTTTCCAGGGGCACTTTGCTTTCCCAAAGGTCCCGAGACAACGGAACAGGAAGGTCAGCCCTTGACCGTGTTGCTTCACAGGGACCTGTGGAAACCCTGTGCTTGCCACATTTTTCACCCCCCCCCCTTCCCTAGACAGGATTTGGTCATGTCTCTTAGTAAATTTTTCCAGAATCAATCTTCCCATTCACTCCCTCCCCCTTACACAGGTAAGTGAGTTTTTTTGGGCAGGGTCATTTTATGTGTTTGTTTTGTTTTTCTGAAGACCAAATCTTGTTGCAGTCATACGGAAGCAATCCATTAAGCCAAACCAAGCCTGTAATTCAGCTGTGCATGATAAGCCTTGAGGTGTGTGTGTGTATGTGTGTGTGTGTGTGTGTGTGCGCGCGCGAGCGCCCCCCCCCCCCCCTAGGGAAAAACATAATCCGTCCACTCAACTGCAGACCCTTCAGCAAGGTTCCCTAGAGCCAAGTACTCAAGGCTGGGAGTGACTGGGAAGCCGCGAGCCTTGTACCTCTCCCTGTGGAGACCCGCTGACATAATTTTCAGCTAATGACTGCCCCCATACCTTCTTAGGGACCAGAGAGGTGATCCTTGTAAACACATCTAAGACCAAACTCCTGAAGCCCTCCAAGAAACTAAACGGTGACCCAGCTCCTCCCTCCACAGCTCAAAGCCACCTCACCCTGCGCTTGGCCACACAGATTAGCTTGCATTTACAACCTGGGACACTCAGGCCTTCTTCACAGACAGTAAACGCCCCCCCCCCCCCCCGCCAAGCCCTACCCTACCAGCATAGCTCCTCAAGAGAAGCAGAAAAAGCAAACCATTGGAAGAAAATGAACACTGTTTCATGTTCCAAAGGACAAGTTTACACCTCAGTAATGCCTTTAGCATTTCCTGGCACTTGGCCGCCCTTCTTTTTTCCAAACTAAGTTGTCCTGAGGAACAAGAAAGCCAGAGCATTTTCCGATTTTGCATCATTGGACGTTGGAACCCTGACTCTCTGGGCTTACCCTATATTGTACTGACATGTTAAAAACCACCCATGATTTGAGGGACAGGTTTATATCTCTCCAGCTTTTCGGGAACTTCCACTGAGCCACGCCCAACAAGCCCGGCTACTGTACTAGCAAGCTAATCAAATATGACAGGAAATGGAAGTGCCAGGAAGTGGGCTTGCTCCAAGATGAGCAGATGCACTCGAGTTTAACAGCTACGGCCAATTAAGAGGTGATTCAGGCAGCCACCTGTGTGCCCGCAAGACATTCTGTAGTCAAAAAAACCCGAGGCTCTCAGTTGTCATTCTAAATGTTTAAGACAGCAGGGTCTGAGTAGGAACGTTGGCTGTCAGAGTCATATATTAAATACATGGATTAACAATGTTCTAACTTCTGCTCACTGAGCAAAGCGCAGCTCTGACGTGATGCTGTCCTTCTCTCCTGGCCATGTGACCTGCATGTGGGGCCACTTTGGGTCACTTCCCTGGGCTTCTGAACGGATTCAAAGCAGGCCAAAAGGCCAGTCAAGAGCACAGAGCAGCCCAGGGGAACATAGGACAGGGGTTAGCTGAGGTGCAGACAGAACTCTGGTTTCCTACAATCCCAAAGGTGCTTCGGGCCAGAATCTACACTCAGGGATGTAAAAATCCCTGCAGTGAATTTATGAAGTGATCTTGAGCAAACCTGAACACCTAAGCCTCAGTACCCTCATTCCTAAAGTGGGGAGAAGGGCAGAAACTGCCCCCCTGCACTGCTGGAAGGAGCGGAAAAAGTGAGGGACAGTGGAAGCTGAGCCAGAAGGGCTGGGCGTGGCAGCTCAGGCCTGTCATCCCAAAACAGGCTGAGGCAGGGGGTCTTCCTGAGTCTCAGGCCTACATAAGCTGCAGTACAAGACATTATCTAGGAGAGTCAGAAACAGGGTCTTCTCGGAGTCCTTGTAAAAGTTTTGGTTGTAGTTTTGGCAGCTCTGAATACGGCATATAACCCTGCTTTAAGTCACAGTAGATATCAGGTTATTTTTATTTATCTTCTGTCTTTCTGGGACAAGACTCCTAGTGACCTGCTAACAGTGGGTAGAGCCACCCCGGGGCTTGAAGCCTTGCCCTCTCCAAAGTGTTTGCACAGAGGCGGGGCTCCCCGAACTGCACACCAATGACTGAGCACATTCCAAAACACTCCTCTGATGGTTGATAAGCCCTGGAACTGTCCTGTGGCCTTGGGGTATCTTCCTGGGACTCGTAGTCCGGGACAAACCTACAGCCTATTCCTCCCTTTCTCCTTCATCGGATCACACGCGGGTCTGGCCACACTCACTTGAACCTGGTTCCCTGCTGACTTGCTCTCCCGCAGGCATCTACCCCATGAAGAGCCTTGCAGGTCTAATCCTGTCCCCAGAGTCTGCATCACTGTAGACCTCCTGAGCCAACACAGGTTCCCATGGTTCTCTCCTGACAGTGGGCAGCTTGTCCTTTGAGGTCTGGACAGGCTGTTCAGCTGTTCACAGAGCCTTTTCATTACGGCAGTGAAGAAGCGGGCACAATACAGATCTTTGTCGGTGCTGAGCTTGTGGGCAATTTAAAGCCGCTGCCTTTTTAGGAAGCCATAGTTTCTGCCCGAGGAAGGTCTAAAGGTGAGTTCTTTAAGAAGAATCATCTTCTTGGTCCAGTAAGTTAACGCTCACAGTCTTGGGTTCCTAGCCTAGGACACAAGGACTAGATGGTGAGTTTAGAAGGGGACTGGAGCCCACCTTGGTTCTTACACATCACATGCCAGTATCACACTTTCTCTCTTCTTTTTCTCACGTACCAACCTTGATGGTTTTGCTGGATGCAAATTTTACTTAACAAAAATATAGAAAACAAAATTTGTAACAGAACATTAGCTGGGAAATTCTCATTTTCCCAAACGGAAAGTACTGGTACTAATTGTTAGTTTAGTGTTAAACCTAAAGAAGGTGAGGGTCCAACCTTGTTTTCCAATAAAAATAGATTAACTAGTGCTATAGACATTTGGGAAAGTCTAAAGGGTAGTTAGAGGGTGACTGCAGAGTACTTGGTGTCATTGACTGTGATCATGTCCTCTTTTACATGTATGTGCACATGTGTGTACGTGCGCACATGTGTATGTGTACGTGCGCACATGTGTATGTGTAAGTCAGAAGTTACTCTCAGTGCTGTCCCTCGTGTATTGACCACGTTTTTTTGTTGGTGTTTGTCTGTTTTAAGATAGGTCAGCAGCCAAGAATCATCAAGTATACCGGGGACCATCCATCTCTGCCTCCTCAGCTCTGGGATTATAGACGCACTCCACACTGTCCAGCTTTTCTGTGGAATGGGGCTCCCTCTCAGGCCCTCACACTTGCATGGCAGCACTTCCCCCCCTAAGTTATCTCCACAGCTCAGGCATACATATCCGCTTTTACATGGTTGGTGGTACGGTCCCTCTCATACTCTGTAGCTGGAACATTATGAGGTCTAATTTTTCCCATGTAGAAGAGATGTTCAATGGGGGTGGGAAAGGATGGGGTGGGCTCACTGACCAGATACCAATCAAGAAGACAGTATAGCCAGGTTATCCTTGCTCCCTTTGTAAATCCTGTCCCCTTGGGTAGTCTGAGGGAGACAGGCCACAGCTGCACAAAGACATCCCTAGCAGAACTAGACCGTTGCCTTTGCCTTTGGAATCCTCCAACGTGTGAAGAGTTTAGACATAGTCCACTACAGCAGGGCAATCGTGGTGGTGGCAGCAGCATGACAGGGTGGCCACATGACACCACTCAGGAAGCAGAGAAAGGTGAGCAGTGGTGCTCTGTCACTCTCGCCTTTGTCCTGTTTTGTCAACCCAGGGCCTTTCCCCATGGGGTATGCCGGCCACATTCAAAGCAGGTCCGCCTTCCATCTCTGAAAACACCACCACATACCCAGAGGTGTGCCTGGGTATTCAGATGTTCCAAATGTCGTCACGTTCACAATGAAGATTCGTTACCACGGCATACAAAGACGTCAACCATTTAAAAAGCTGTTGGCTTTTGCAATCTGCCAAAGAACCTTCTCACTCATGCGTCCCTCAAATGTCACCATGTGGCTCTTAATTTTAATTAAGCAGCGCATTCTGACCCAGCTTCGCACTTACTCTTGGCTCCGGCTATCTGTGGCCTTAACCCAAATCCAATCCTCTCCCCATCTCTCATGGCCGTGCTTTCCTCAAAGCCTTCACATAAAGCCACTTCAGCTTTCATCCTTCCCAGAGGCCAGAGCCAAAACCCTGGGAGCTGGAGAATGAGGATCTGAAAAGGAAGGCCCGCAAGAGTAGAACTTCCATTTTTAGGGTAAGGGCTGATTCAGCCTGAATCAAGAAACTGCTTGCCTGTGCAACTACTCAAAATAATTAACTCTCATTAAAAAAAGAAGGAAGGAAGAGAAAGAGAAAAAAGGAGGAAGGGAGGAGGGAAGAAAGGAAGGAAGGGAAAGGAGAGAGAGAGAAAAGAGGGAGAGAGGGAGAGGAAGAGAAGGAAGAAAGACGGAAGGAAGGAAGGAAGGAAAGAAAAGAAAAGAAAGACAGACAGACAGACAGACAGAAAGAAAGAAAGAAAGGATAGAAAGAGAGACCTCTGACGTGGACCCTGTAGATGGCCGAGCAGGTAGAGGCGGGGTGATCAATCCAAGGAACCCTCATGACCACATGATACCTTGAAGGAGAATCAATCTCTGTAAGCAGTTCAGACCTCAACACACCTGTGTGCACATACGAGGACATTCATGCATGCGCACAATACAATGCATACAATTTGAAAAAAGAACTGTCATCTTAAAACGCCATGTTTACCTTTCCAAAGTCTGAAACACATATAGATCACCGCCACCACCAGCTGAAGCTTGTTTGTATACTACATATAAAGCAACTGACTCCTTGAGTAACCGCTTCTTCACACACACACACACTCTCTCTCTCTCTCTCTCTCTCTCTCTCTCTCTCTCTCTCTCTCTCTCTCTCTCCCCCTCCCTCCCTCCTCTTACCCCTGTGTCTCGCTTGGTTTAAACATGCTGTAAACAAGGGGTCTCAAGTCGAAGTCTTGTCCCCAGTTGAGCCTGAAGCGACTACTCAACAGATCCTTTGACTTTTATGCTCGGCTGGCTGGCCCCAGCCTGGGTTTAGACATAAGAAACCCCTGTCCTGCGCCCTCAGAAAATAAATAAAAAACAATCGGGGCTCCCTAAGGATCCAGGATCGGGCGATTTCAAGGGCAACCTTGGTTAAATCACCCTGACCCTACAGTAGTGCTACCCCAGGAAGCTACAGTGGAGCCTTCTCCAGCTGAGAAATGGCAACCTGGGTGAACTGTCTGGACCTCCTACCCTGCCCCGCACACAGGTCCGAGACTCCGAGCGCTACGTGACCGTGAGGTTCCGGGAGCGGCCGGGAGGCGGTGCCCACAGCCGCGGCGCCGCCCTGGGGGTTCCCATGCCTCCCCCTCCCCGAGGGGGGGG